ACTGCTATACGGGCAAGACAGGCCCCAGCCATCCTGCGACTCTTGGAGATGGGGCTTGCGTGGTGATGGTTTGTTCACCGTAAAGTCCTTTATACTCTAGAGTATGTTGGTGAGAGAGGAGACCACTTTTCCATACTCCTCGATCTGGATTCCTAGGGCGCCCACGAAGGTGTGCTTTTTTGCATGGCTAGCGGCGAGGGGAGTGATCTTGACTGCTGAAAATCTCTGAAAGAGAGGAATTACACTTGTTAGTTGGTGCTACATGTGTAAAAGCTCAGGGGAAGAAGTTGTTCACCTTTTGTTGCATTGCCCTGTGTCCTCTACTTTGTGGAGGGCAATCCTGAATTTTTTTGGTGTTCAATGGGTGATGCCAAGCACTGTAAAGGAAATGTTATATAGCTGGGCCGGTTTCCGTAGAAGAAGTAAGCAAAAGGCGTGGAAGTTCGCCCCGTTAGCTCTCATGTGGGTAGTATGGGGGGAGAGAAATATGAGAGCTTTTGAGGAGATTGAGTCTCCTTTTTCACATCTTAAGAATAGTCTTGTATCTTTGATCGCTTTTTGGTGCACTCATTTAGCCCCTACTTGTATAGAAGATTGGGCGTCTTTTGTAGAGAATCATATTCTGATGTAAATTCTCTACGTTTTTGGTATACTTCGTGTATACGGGAGTTCTCTCCCTTTTGATTAATACAATTGACCTTATCAAAAAAAAAAAAAATCAATCTGAATACAAAAAAATATTGTCCATCATTGATTATATCAAAATTTTAAGTGACACAACTCTAGTTTGTTCAAAGCTCACTATAAACTAACATCTAAACATTAGTAGAATTAGTGAGATAATTTAATTACTTTTCCTCGCCTAATAATTATACAGAGCTTTTCAAATATACTTTTATATTAATTGTGATTAATGAACTATTATAGGCATTCAATCTTTGAGCTTGTCACCTATCTTTTAATCAAACTTTTAAGAATAGATTATATCTTTGTATTCAAATATGTGGCCTTTGACCAAAATCTTATAGCATTTTTTTCCTCTTACTATTAAATATCCCCTCAAGTATTTCTTCATATCAAAGTTCCAAAAGATATGTTCCTTTTTCTTCTCCTTTTAAAAAAAAATACAAATACTCTTTTGTGTTTTTGGTTATTAACTAATATTACAATAAATTTTAAATTGTTAGCGCTAATGATAGTAACATTTAAAAAGAGATTAATACATCGTATATATTTACAAAGAAAATGGCACAGATCCTGAGAACCTAAAATATCATTAAATGTAGAAGGAGTGTCGACTGATATATCGATTTTAGTAACAATTAGTCCTTACTTATTTTTGTGTAAACTTTTTCATTTGAAGTATTCTTGTTCATCATTATATCCAAACTCATTTGTCTCATTTGAATTGTCAAATATAGTACTTTTGATTGGATTTATCATTCGAAACATGAGATAATATACCTTAACATTCCCATTCTTTAATTCAAAAAAATATTGTTAAAACAAGCTGCAACTTAGTTCATTTGTATTTAATATTCATGATTGTTATAGCAATATTTCTTTTGTTAATTTTAAAGTTATAAATATTAAAAAATAACTAAATGACAAAATTATATTTAATGTGTATGATATAATATACATGTTATCCATCATTAATTATTAACTTTTATATTAAAAATTATAAATCACCTTAAAACTTTGTGAGCATGTGAAATATTCAAATTAACAGTACTCAAGTTGGTTCAAACAAAATCGGAAAAAATGGAATTGACATGTTTGATGATTCTTACGTGGTTAGTACTACAAAATTAAAATGAATGACAAAATTTCTAACGTGTTAAAAACTTGGAAACATTTAAGGACTTACACAATTTAAATATGGAAAAAAGTTATATAAGTAAAATTAAACTCAATTTTAGATTCCTAAATATTAAGAGTTTCTACCTAGTTCAAATAAGGAACAATTTAATAAATAAAAATTAGTTGATTTTTAAAGTCCTAAATATTAGGAATATAAGTAAATTACAATTACATATTTGTCCAACTTGAAATCTATTTTTAAAGGGCAAAAAAGACTAACGACATTTCGCTAAGGGCTTTCGTGCTTTTAATATAGTATAGATTAGTAGCCTTGGTTCTTCTCCTTACAAAGTTTTCACTCTATGCTTCTATCTGTTGGTACCTATGTTGCTCAGATCCTCCAAATGTGTTACCGCATCCGTGTCGGATCCTTCAAAAATGCAAACTGTATCTCGGCAGCCGAACATTTAATTACAACAACAACGACATACCCAGTGTGATCCCACAAGTGGGGTTGGGAAGGTGAGGTGTACACAGACCTTATCCCTATCTCGTGTGAGGTGGAGAGGCTGTTTCCAGTAGACCCTCGAATCAAGAAAAGCATTTTCAAACTAAGTTTGAAAAATACAAGAGTAAAAAAAGCTAAGATGAAAATACTGAAAAAAAGAAAAGTATTGACAACAAAAATAGTAAAGATAACCAAAGTAAATAAAACAACAACAGTATAAAATTAAAAAAATAAGATGATAATAATAATAATACTCATAAGGAGAAGAGGGAGCAGATAAAGTGTTATAAACTAGAACCATGCTCTCCCACAGAAAGGAGAGAAATCGCTCGACTACCTACTAACTTTCTACCTAGTCCTCGACCTTCATGCTCTCCTATCTAGGGTCATGTCCTCGGTGAGCTAAGATGTGCCATGTCCTGTTTAATCACCTCTTCCCAATTCTTCCTCGGTCTACCTCTACCGCTCCTTAGACCTATCACTGCCAACCTCTTCACTGGAGCATTTGTGCTCTTCCTCTTCACATGTCCGAACCATCTTAGCCTCGCCTCCCGCATCTTGTCCACCACAAAAGCCACTCCTACCTTGCCTCGTATATCTTCGTTCCTAATCTTATCTCTCCTAGTATGCCCACACATCTATCTGAGCATCCTCATTTCTGCTACTTTCATCTTCTGAACGCGTGAGTTCTTGATCAACACTCTGCCCCATGCAACATAATTGGTCTAACAACCAATCTATAGAACTTACCTTAAGTCTTGATGGCATATTCTTATCACATAGGACACCTGATGCGAGCCTCCATTTGTGATGGGCATTTTGAGTAGGTGATTCTAATTGAATCTCCATGCCCGCTGTAAAAGAGATGCAGGAAACATAATCATATCAATAATGTTGATTTCATTTCGTATTTTGTTTGCTACCCTGAGCCGACAAGGCCTTCTTTGTTTTCTGGGATTTGTATTGATGTTGCTGAACTTCCTTTGCTCATTCGCAGATGCCGATGGGAAGCAAGCATTGGCAGTTCATTGGGAACCACCTCCGGAAAGTGCTTACAAGTGGAAACACAAACATCCTCTCAAGCCTAAGTCATTGCGCATATATGAATGTCACGTCGGTATCTGCAGCCAGGAACCAAAAGTTTCTTCTTTCAGTGATTTTATTAGCAAGGTGACTGCGTTANCTTTATGTCATATTGTCAGAATCTGCATTTTTAGAGGAATATCACTTATTTTTTAGATATATTAAATCCTCGACCTCAGCCAAATACTTGCTTCATGAATCATCTTTACATGATTTTTTATGTATCAATATTTGACTGTAGTCTAGACCAATATGATACAGCAGTATCTAATTCAAATAGATAGCATATCTGAAGAACAAACTTCAGGTGATGAATTTTTTTTTTTTTTTTTTTTTTTTTTTTGCATTTGTGTGGATAAATATTTTTAGTGCATTTTCTTTGTCTTTGCAGGCTGACTTCCTTTAATATATTTTCTTTTTGTCGTTCCAGGTTCTTCCACATGCAAAAGAAGCTGGATACAATGCAATACAATTAATTGGAGTTGTTGAGCACAAGGATTATTTCACTGTTGGATATAGAGTGAGTTAAGAATAGTTTCTCGTCAATTCTCTATCCCTGAAAAATACACATGATACATTCTCAAAATTGGATTTCTTTTGTGCTTCCTGATATAAAAATGTGAGCCATGCCATTAGGATTTTGCGTACTTTCTTTTGGATTTGTTACATGATCAAAAGGCTTGAACTTGGTGACAACGCCTCTCTTGCACTGAGATTCGCTTCCTTAAAAAAGAATTTTTCCCCAGGAACTTTCTCATTGAATATCACCAAGAGGTTAACAAAAGAATAAACAAGGAAAAAGGAAAAACAAAAGATTCTCAAATAGCCAAGACTGAATATATTCCTCCTTCATCGTCTCCCACACTTTCTTACAATGTTTTGGTGTTTAACTTCCAGTATTAAGTTGTTTCATTTGCCACCTTTGTGTAAACTTGTCAGAGGCATTTAATCATTTTCTTTTGGTAAATACAAGGTATACTAAAGGATTAGATTGAGAAATAGACTTAAATGGTAAGGAGAAAGGATCTAAGAGCTCAAAATAAAATAAAGTTGACAGAATGCCTATGTCGTGAACCACCGTTACCAGACTGATGCAGTCAAAAGTGGAAATGAAGGCTAGAATAGCACTGAAGATCTTCTGGTTCTTATCAGTGTTGTCAAAAAGCGAAAAGCTCTAAAAAGCGCTCCAAGCCGATTGGGGCTTTAAGCACAAAGCGCAACTACTAAAGTGTGGTCTTCCGTAAAAAAAGGTGCAACTAGGAAAAGAATTAAAAATACATATGTAATTCAAGAAAAAAGAAATAAATTCACTCCTAATGTTTTCCTCAGCGACTAATACACTTATTTGCTGATAATATTTGTTGTTTAGTACTGCTAAGTTCAAGATAGAACTCATGGGCATTGAGGCGCACACCTTAGTGCCTTGTTTACACTAAACCACAGCTTAAGCGAGGCGAAGCAGCCTTGAGCTTTTCTGAGCTTCAAGGCTTAAGCGCGCCTTAAATGAGCCTTTGACAACATTTGGTTCTTATGGGTGGGTTCCTCTACAGGTAATGGCCTGTGAAGGAAGGGCACAATGGAAATGTGAACTTACTAGTTACTGTGCTTGTGTATGTGTCTCTGGTGTGGCGAGTATGAGACGGTTGGGGAATGAAAACGGGATTGGTGAAAGGATTAATCTGTCAATTGTGGGCTTTTGTCTCTGTATTCATGCGATGGAAGAATTTGGGTGGGTATTTCTCGGCTTTTGTAGAAGATAGGATTTTATGGAAGGAAATGATACTGAGGAGAGGCGGTGGTGATAGGGAGGAGTTGGTGACAGGTTGAAGGTGGTGGGGAAGGATCAATATGGAGGATTTAGGGGTGAGTGGTGATGGCAGGGATGGAAATGGGGTGTCATTGGTGAAGGGGCCTCGGGGAATTGAATTTTACGTCGGCCAATGATTCTTTTATCCAAACTCAGCTCTTTCCCTAAATTGCTTGATAGTTCTAGTTAGGGAGGGGGGAGGTGAAGGAAAGAGATATTTATTGGTTTACTTCCCTTAGAGGAAGCATTGATGATTTACTTTGGGTGGTGTCATACAGCTGGAGGGCGCCTGTACGCCCAGTTTTAGAGGGTTGAAAAAGAACACTTTATTCCTTACCAAAGAAGGGGAATAACTAGTGCTCCTAATTTTCCATCTTCTAACACCTCTTTTTCATCCCCTAACCAAGTTACCAAACACATAAATTTGAATTTAAAATTAATAGATTGCTTATGAAGGGTTAGAATAGTAAGCTAAATGCAACATACGGCATTTTATTTCGATTTATGTGTTGGAAATTGTGAGGCAGCTAGATGCTGGGAAATTTTGAGGCAGTTAGGGAGGGGGGAGGTGAAGGAAAGAGATATTTATTGGTTTACTTCCCTTAGAGGAAGCATTGATGATTTACTTTGGGTGATGTCACNGATGGAAGAATTTGGGTGGGTATTTCTCGGCTTTTGTAGAAGATAGGATTTTATGGAAGGAAATGATACTGAGGAGAGGCGGTGGTGATAGGGAGGAGTTGGTGACAGGTTGAAGGTGGTGGGGAAGGATCAATATGGAGGATTTAGGGGTGAGTGGTGATGGCAGGGATGGAAATGGGGTGTCATTGGTGAAGGGGCCTCGGGGAATTGAATTTTACGTCGGCCAATGATTCTTTTATCCAAACTCAGCTCTTTCCCTAAATTGCTTGATAGTTCTAGTTAGGGAGGGGGGAGGTGAAGGAAAGAGATATTTATTGGTTTACTTCCCTTAGAGGAAGCATTGATGATTTACTTTGGGTGGTGTCATACAGCTGGAGGGCGCCTGTACGCCCAGTTTTAGAGGGTTGAAAAAGAACACTTTATTCCTTACCAAAGAAGGGGAATAACTAGTGCTCCTAATTTTCCATCTTCTAACACCTCTTTTTCATCCCCTAACCAAGTTACCAAACACATAAATTTGAATTTAAAATTAATAGATTGCTTATGAAGGGTTAGAATAGTAAGCTAAATGCAACATACGGCATTTTATTTCGATTTATGTGTTGGAAATTGTGAGGCAGCTAGATGCTGGGAAATTTTTGCTCTGTTTCAGACAAAATAATCAGATTGATGCCCTTTCCTGTATTCAATTACCATATGGAATACATCGGGTGTATAAACTGATCCTGATGTTTGATCTTCAAGTTTGGTAACATTAACAGATCATAACTTCACGTATCCTGCATGAACAGTTGAACACAGTGTTAGTTGAACAATTTAATTGATCAATTGTCAGGTTATGCATTTGAAAGATTGCATCTTTATATCCCTCTCTCTTTTAGCTATTAGGAAGTAGCTTACTGAACATCATCATATAATCTTTTCTTGAATAGATTCACAACCTCCTGAATCTTTATGACTTATATTTCTGCCTCACCATCAATATGATTTCACCATTTCTTATGTAAAGGTGACAAACTTTTATGCTGTTAGTAGCCGTTTTGGCACACCGGATGACTTCAAGCGCTTGGTTGATGAAGCACATGGTAATCCTTGACGTTTGACCTGGGCAAATATGGTTTACGTCCTGCTAAGCTGTTAGTGACTACTTATGTTGCATATTATTTGCTTTCTCCTTCCTTTTTATTTTTCTGACTAATATAATTTGTATGATTTGTGATTGAGGCATAGTTTATTTATTGACTGGTTGGTCTATCATCTATGCTTACTTTCTGTTGGGTTCATTTAGTCGCTATTTCTTCTGCTCAGAATGGCATAGCTTAATGCATTTCATTTGGTTTCTTGCACTTTTTTACCAACCTATTAACTTTTCCTAAAGTTCTATTAGTACTATCGTGTTGCTTTCAACTCTTCTTTAGCAGTTACAGAATTTCCTGGCTATTGTACTCTTTTTGGATTGTATAATGCATTTCTAACTAAGGAGCCCTGTTTTCCATCTTTTCTCCAGTACTCTTCATGCTCATAACAGCCAGAGGCCACTAAACTACATAAACACCTTTTCCCCTCGTATTTGCTATCTCTTCAGTGACATTTTATTAGTTTAAAGCTGCAGAACTTGCTTAAGATCTGTCTTGACTTCTCAGAAAAAAGATTTTTTTAGGTTGACGTCTGGACAAAACTGGAGGTATATTTGGTTTGTTGGTAATGTCAAGTGACATTTTGTTTCTGCATCTTTTGGTGTATATGCCATTCGACATATCGAATGAGATCCTTTGAAGGTAGCACTTATGGTCCTGTTTGTTGAATGCTAAGTGAATACGTGTCTCGATTCTTTGAACTTGAGTATGATATTATAAAATATTCTGTTTGTACGTAAGGCGATCACGCATTTGGTTATATAACATTTACTTACCTAATTAGACATATAAGATGATTATTTACTATATTGTATTAAGACTCTTCTTGTATGTTGTTAATAGATCAAGTCAAGAAGAAGTTTTCTATTTTTACATATTACCTGAGCAGGCAGAGATCCTTGTTTCAATCTCAACGCACCTATTATCAAAAAGAACTTTCCGTGCTTGACCCGTGAAAAAGAACAACGCTGCACATTAGGGGAAGGTATAAAGACATTGTGAGAAAGCACGGTAGAAAATATTATTGATTATCTAAAGTGTTGTACAACGCCCTATTTATATACAGTGATTACATGATAATAGGTATCTACTTCCCGATGTGGGACACTATACATGACTAACTACTTAACACTCCCCCTCAAGCCGGTGCATATAAATCATATGTGCCGAACTTGTTACAGATGTAACCAATACGAGAACCAGTAAGAGACTTAGTGAAAATATCTGCTAGCTGATTATTCGACTTCACAAACTTTGTAACAATATCTCATGAGAGTATCTTTTCTCTGACAAAGTGACAGTCGATTTCAATGTGTTTAGTCCTCTCATGAAACATCAAATTTGACGCAATATGAAGAGCAGCTTGATTATCACACACCAGTTCCATCTTGCTGATTTCTCCGAACTTCAACTCCTTGAGCAACTGCTTGACCCAAACTAGCTCACCCGTTGCCATAGCCATGGCCCGATATTCGGCTTCGGCGCTAGATCGAGCAACTACATTCTGTTTCTTGCTCTTCCAAGAGACCAAATTGCCTCCTACTAGAACACAATATCCAGACGTAGAACGTCTATCAGAAGGTGATCCTGCCCAATTAGCATCTGTGTACCCAACAATCTGCTCGTGGCCTCGATCCTCGAATAGTAATCCTTTGCCTAGAGCTGACTTTATATACCGAAGAATGTGAATAACTGCATTTCAGTGACTATCACTGGGAGAATCCATAAATTGACTTACAACACTCACCGGAAAAGAAATGTCAGGTCTAGTTACCGTGAGGTAATTCAATTTGCCAACCAACCTCCTATATCTCGTAGGATCTCTAAGAGGCTCCCCCTATCCTGGAAGAAGCTTAGCATTCAGATCCACAAGAGTGTCAACATGTTTGCAGCCCATCATTCCAATCTCCTCAAGAATGTCTAAGGCATACTTTCGCTGTGAAATAACAATACCTGAGCTAGACTGAGCGACCTCAATACCTATAAAATACTTCAATATGCCCAGATCCTTAGTCTGGAAGTGCTGAAAAAGATGCTGCTTCAGATTAGTAATACCATCCTGATTATTGCCAGTAATAACGATATCATCAACATAAACCACTAGATAAATACATAGATTAGGAGCAGAATGCCGATAAAACATAGAGTGATCGGCTTCACTACGCGTCATGCCGAACTCCTGGATAACTGTGCTGAACTTACCAAACCAAGCTCGAAGGGACTGTTTCAAACCATATAGTGACCTGCGCAATCGGCATACAAGACCACTAGACTCACCCTGAGCAACAAAACCAGGTGGGTGCTCCATATAAACTTCTTCCTCAAGATCACCGTGGAGAAAAACATTCTTAATGTCTAACTGATAAAGAGGCTAATGACGTACAACAGCCATGGACAAATGAGACGAACAAATGCTACTTTAGCCACGGGAGAGAAAGTGTCACTATAATCAAGCCCAAAAATCTGAGTGTATCCTTTTGTAACAAGACGAGCCTTAAGCCGATCAACCTGGCTATCCGGGCCGACTTGGACTGCATAAATCCAACGACAACCTACAGTAGACTTACCTGGAGGAAGAAGAACAAGCTCCCAAGTGTCACTCGCATGTAAAGTAGACATCTCGTCAATCATAGCTTGTCGCCATCCTGGATGAGATAGTGCCTCACCTGTAGACTTAGGGATAGAAACAGTGGACAAAGATGATATAAAAGCGTAATGAGGTGATGACAGACGATGATAACTTAAACCGACATAATGGGGATTAGGGTTAAGTGTGGATCGTACACCTTTGTAGAGTGCAATTGGTTGACTAAGAGGAGACAAGTCCGCAGTAGGTGCATAATCTGATGCAGGACGTGAATCACCTGGGCCTGATGCTGGACGTGGACAACGATGATAAGTCAAGAGTGGTGGAGCTGCAGAAAGTTGAACTGGAACTGGAGCTATAGGTGGTGGAACTGGAGCTGTAGGTGGTGGAACTGAAGCTATAGGTGGTGGAATTGCAACTGGAGCCATAGGTGGAGCTAGAGTTGTAGAGGAAAATGAAGGGGAGATAGTGACTGAATCTCCAAAAGATGAAACTGGTAGCACCTCAGAAATATCTAAGTGATTACCTGGACCTGTGAATTATGATTGGGTTTCAAAGAAGGTAACGTCAACGGACATAAGGTACCGCCGGAGGTCAGGAGAATAACATCGATACCCCTTTTGCGTTCTCGAGTAACCCAGAAATACGCACTTAAGAGCACGAGTAGCTAACTTATCTTTTCCTGGAGTAAGGTTATGAACAAAACACGTGCTTCTAAAGACACGGGGTAGAAGAGAGAACAAAGGTAAGTGGGGAAACAGGACAGGGAATGGAACTTGATTTTAGATAGCTGAAGATGGCATACGATTAATAAGATACCAAGATGTAAGAACTGTATCCCCAAAAAACGCAACGGAATATGAGATTGTATGAGTAGGGTATGAGCAGTTTCAATAAGGTGTCTATTCTTTCTTTCAGCTACCCCATTTTGTTGAGATGTGTACGGACAAGATGTTTGACGAATAATCCCATGAGAGTTCATAAACTGCTGAAATGGGGAAGACAAATACTCTAAGGCATTATCACTACGAAATGTGCGGATAGAAACACCAAATTGATTTTGAATTTCAGCGTGGAAGGTATGGAAAATAGAAAACAACTCAGATCGATTTTTCATCAAAAATATCCAAGTGCACCTGGAATAATCATCAATGAAACTGA